GTGTGTGTGTGTGTGTGTGTGTGTGTGTGTGTGTGTGTGTGTGTGTGTGTGTGTGTGTGTGTGTGAAAGCTGAAAGTTATTATTGGCTAAAATATTAAATTTTAATATTTGAAACATTCAACAGACTCGCACGTGGCCAGTGATGCCAAAAATGCGACATATTCCTGTTAAGTGACAAAAAAATGTGAATAATAATTGATAAATAAATAAACATGCAAAAGAGTAAAAATTGAAATAAATCTAAATAATCTTTACATACCATCTTCTTTACACAAATCAACTGAAATATATTAGGAACACATTTTATATATATCGTATCAGGGAAAATAAATAACTAACAGGGAAGATAAATACTGTTTATATAAGCATCATATAAACTTTAATAGAAATGAGTAAACAAATAATAGTAAGAGACAAGAAAAGACAAAAAAAAAAGGAAAAGTAAACATACTGAGAAATAAACTTATTATTAGTAGGCGCAGCTTTTTGGCAGCAGATGCGCGAAATACTAATGTTTCTGGTATAAGATTTCTTCTTTTTTTCATGACATTTTTGAGTACCGAATTGATTCGAAAGTTTCATATAGTCGAAACTTAAGTTGCTCGAAATATTCAAAATTATTTGTACTAGTTTTATATTTATATTAATGTTTTTTTCTAATTAATTTAAGTTTGATTAATTAATATAATTAATATAATTAATAATAGATGGGCAAAAAAAAGACAAAATAGGGGGATAATAATTTGCAACAATTGTGAATATTAACAAGCAAAATTTTCCAAACAAAGTAATTAAATAATTACGAAGAATATTATGTTTAAAAAATTATATTTAATTTAGCTTCTAAAAAATAGAAAGAAAATTTGAAATAGGAATGTATCAAAAATGAATATTATAAAACAAAATCTTTATGTACATACAATACTTATATATATTTCATAAGTTTATGTACACAAACATGATACAAGTTTAAATTAGGGCATTTGACTCGAAAACTTTGTTTGATTTTTAGATTGATAGCAGATGCGATTTGCATAATAATCAATAGTTACGTTTGTAGTAAATTTATTTGTAATAAAAATGTTACATGGTTCATGACAGGAAGAAATATAAATAACATATTTAAAATTAAGCCTCTATTTAAATTTAAATCACATATGATTGATGCTAAAAATAATGGAAGTTGTACTTGTATTGCTATAGTAATAAAATAAAAATAAGTTAATTGCATCTTACTCGCAAGAGATGATCCGTAATCAGGAAATTCAGAAAATTATGAAAGTTTGGAATGAGTAGTAATAAGTAATATATTATGTATTAAAAGTAATTCTTTTCCTGCTAAAATTCACTCTAAGAAAGTAAAATTGAGCTCTGAAAATTCAACAATTTTTCGATTTTATATCGTAACTTGCAAACTATAAGAGAGTTATCAAAAATTTCTTTTTTTAATTATGACCATCTTATGACAAAAAATTCTTCAATAGTTATGTAACTAGAAAGAGTTATAAATAAAAATACAACCGTTCAGACGTGTTGACACCCTCTCGCGAGTGCCGTTCTATGAGTAACACATTCTATTGTGCTACGCTTGTGTACGTTATGATACGCTTACCACGACGACAGAATGACTCATGTGTGTGACTTCGACGAGCCTCCTGATAATAGCAATCCAAATATGGAATTAAATCTCTCACCGATAAGTAACGTACCGAATCTTTCAACTACGTAACCTGTAAAGTCTTACACTTCAGCCACGACAAATATTTCATTTCCCACTAGAATAAGCCATTATTCTGTAAGCGACACAACAGTGAAAGAATACATATAAGCCGTAGCAAAAATTACTGGACCAAAACGCTATCCGCTTTGTCTCTCACATATCCAACGAAAGAATCTGCATCTATTTCGACAGAAAAACTACGGCGAAACGTTTCGTTACCAATTATAAATCACTATCGATTAACAATATTATAACTACAGTCCGGCCTCTATTAGACCAGTCGCAAAGAATAGTTCTATCTGATGTCTCGCCTACCATACCTCATAGTTTTATTGAAAAATTTCCAACGGATCACAATATCAAACTAACCTCGAAACTTACCTTTCTACGAACTGGAATCTAAGAGAATAGTTTTTGCTATATTATGAGTTTTAGGAGGCAAATCTATATTAACCTAGACGATGTCACTAAGATCCCCGAATCGTTCCTAATTACTCATGAAGACACACAATACAGAATCTTTGTATCTACCGACAAAGTTAGTTGTTTCCTATGCAAGCAAGAAAGCATATTGCAAAACAATGCAATAACCCAACAAAACCAATTCCAACCAATAGTAACCAATCACCAAAAACACTAGAACAGCCAACTCATACTATCAATACTCAGGAAACTACAAGTAGCCCAACCGGAAATCTTACTAAAACTGGAAACAGAAAAATAAATGAAATCGCTACTACTAATGCCATTGTTACACTCGTGGACTACTCCAAACGACAACACGTCTGCAAATCAAATAATCCTCAAACTTTCATTCCCAACAAAAGGCCATTATCAACCTCCTCGAAGGCAGAAAAAGATCTTAACCTGACAACGGCAAGCTCAAACACCAAGGACTTGAACCTGATGGACTCAACTACACCAACCAACCTGAGGAAAAAAACCCAAACGCACTTAGTCACTGACTAGAATCATGGAAGGTATGGAAAGTATCGTAAGTCCAGCTAAATTTGTTCTGGAAGACCCTATAAATAACTTCCCACTCACCTACATCCAACTCAAAAGCTTTCTGAAGAACTCAATCGGCAAAGACAATCCAAATGACATTGCCACGGAACTATACTTCTGATACAAAAGTTTTAATCCTTATGCTTAAAGGAACCTACCTCTTACTTCCAGACCAGAGAATGAAAAATAGATTTCGTCGCCTAATAAAAAAGTTAGAAATTGAGCCCCCAACTCCTGTCGCCTTACAATTTATTCTATTCAACGAAACGCCACCATCCTTCTAAAGGACTTCAAACAGATCCACATAAACACTAAATCAAATCTACCATCTATCATGTCACTGCAAATCATTCAATGGAACTTGAACGGTTTCTATAACCGACTCGAATACCTTAAATTGCTAATTAAAGAAAACCAAAAACAAGTAATATGCCTGCAGGAAACAAATTTTAAATACCAAAATACAGGCAAGATCAAAAACTATAAGTCATTCTTCTACCCACGCAAGCGGAAGAGTTGCAACCTTTGTCAAAAATAATATTCGTAGCGAAGAAGTAAGGATCATAACTAGCATTGAGGCCATTGTCACAAAAATTTCGTATTCCACAAACCTATACTTATGCAACGTGTACATACCGAACAGTAAAAACCTCAAGGAAAAGGAAATTAATCAACCAACTACTCAAACCCTTTCTTATACGGCGACTTCAACAGCCACTCTCTGGGATTCTCACAAAATCGATAAACGAGGTATTATCATAAAAAAAATAATAAATTCAGCTAACCTAAACTTACTAAACACCAACGATCTCACACACCTATGTACAGCATCCGGACACTTCAGTACAATAGACCTATGCAGTCCATCAATCACACAGAACATCTCATAGGACACTTTAAATGACTTTTACGACAGCGACCACTACCCAATTAAAATAATATACAAACTCAACCGAAAGTTCGAACTCCCAAAACACTCAACATGGATACTTTAAAAAGCTAATTGGAGTATATTCCGTGAGCTATCTAAATCAATTTCTTGAATTACAAAATCAAACCCAGTAAACTCGGTTACTCTAAACTTAGCACTCGATTACTTCTCAGATTTCATCATAAATGCAGCAAACTCAGCTATCACGAAGACCAAAAACTCTATCAACCCCAAAACCAAATACAATCCATGATGGAATGAACAATGCTCACTAATCGTATAAACATTCCTTCAATAAATACAAAAGATACAAAACCTTAGAAAACCTTGTGGAGTTTAAAAATGTCGAGCCATAGCTCGCAAAGTCATCAAAAACTGCAAGAGACAATCGTGGATTGCATATGTATCGCCACTGAAACCACCTACGCTACCTTCACAAATTTGAATGAAAATTAGACCAATCAAAGGCTCGAATTCACAATTTACGATACCTGCTTTAACGAAAGAGGAAAGTTCACTTACCACAGACCTCAATGAAATAGCCGAGCAACAGCATTCCAAAAAAAAGTTCCAGCAGTAGTAACTACACTGAGGACTTTCTAAATTACAAACGAGAAACAAAATCCAAATCAACAATAGCCACAAACACAGAACTCGATGCAACCACCCTATCAGCTTTAAATATGCAAATCCAAATGTATGAATTACAACACTTCTTAAGCACAAACACCAGTCTAGGACCAGACGAAATTCCCAAAATCTTCCTAATTAATTTACCTCAAGAGTTCTCAATTATATGCTCTTACTTTCTAATTGTATTTGGACACACACCCTATTTCCAACCAGAAGGACAAAAGCCACAGTGATTCCCATCCTGAAATCAGGCAAGTGTTCAACGGACCTCAACAGCTTCCAGCCGATTGTACTCATAAATACTATATGTAAATTATTAGAAAAAATCATAAATTATAGACTTCGATGGTTCTTAGAATCTAATCAACTAATTTGTAACTACCAAAGTGGTTTTCGACAGTTCCACTCAACCTATGATCATTTAATTAACCTAGTCACACGTACGCGAGGCCTTTACCAACAAACAGTACGCAATTGCGGTATGTCTGGACAGCGAAAAGGTTTATGACATGACATGAAGAAACCGATAACATGATTATAACATGAAAATTATAACTCCGAATTATAACTCCAAAAACATGACCTCAAAGACAACATCCTAAACTTTATTAGCAATTTCCTGACCACAAGACCAATTCAAGTTAGCCAACAACAGGTTTCGGTCTCAAAAACCCTTGAAGAAAATGGCGTTCCACAAGGCTCTGTCGATATCCTGAACGATATCCTGAATACCGTAACGAACCCGGCCAAAGAATTCATATATGCCGACGACTTGACTCTTGAGTCTGTAGAGGAACAAATCTCCACAACATACAGACATTACTTCAAGAAATTCTGATAAATTACAGAAATGGTCACTCATCTGGCTTTAAATTCTCTGGCTAAATTGGAAATAATTACTTTTATCAGAAACCGACAGCGCCCAAATATTAGACTAACTAGACTTAATAACGTGATACTAAAGGAAACATCCTCTATCAAACTACTT